AGTGGCCCTCCCTGTTTAGCTCAATAACGTTTACTCTGCAGAGCATTGCACCTGCCGGAGAAGGCCGGGCGGGTGAGTCTCAAGCTTATCTGTTTAAAAGTGATCAAGGATGTGGTCACTTTGAAAGCCAAGGACAGGGCATAGCCGCAACAGCTCAGAATACAAAATCATATAGGGTACTTCTTTAGGCTTATTTACATCAAACATAATGCAATTATGGGTGAAAGGGTTACATTTGCAACAACATTTGCATTTCATAACAGAGGTGACCCAAAAAGGATGCAAGAAAGTAAAGCACCAGATCCCTGAGAAGGTGTAGATTGTAAACAGCAAAAAAAAAAAACTTTAGAGGTTAGTCTATAGGAGCTAAAAGTTACTAAATTTTTGTCTGTTTTGCCTTGCATATCCCGTAACACTATACCTGTTCTAATAATACATATTTAATTTATTATGTTCCTGTATACTTTTTATATAAAAATTGAGGTTACCCATTCGCACATACAGGGTATGGCCAGTTTCTGTGTTTGCATCAGAACATTGTTTCTCAATCACCACCCTTGTCTCTGTTGTCCTACGACAGTGTGACACATACTTTTAAAACAAGATTGCAGATAATGTCTTGAAAGATTCTGTCCCATTGCTCTCGTTGTTCAACCAGGTTCTAGCTGATATACTGCAACAAATTGCACATTGGGAGGAACAATACAGTACAATACTTAAAATGTGAAACAGGGAGCTGACAGATAAAGAATCAAATCCACCCTGAAGATATCAAACCTAGAAATATATTTAAAAATCCCAAAAAACAAAAACATTGTGGCAGAAAAGCAGGAGAAACAAACTCTAATCTTACAAAAAAGGTATTTCAGTTTAAAACCAATAATTACATAAACACATTTATATTAACACTTCCGGTGAGTGCTGGTAATAACCACTTAAAATGAAAACAAAAAATGGGATTCCTTCATGCAATCAAGCATTCCAAGGTGTGTCCTGTAAATGTTCTACTAGGAAAGGTAGACAAGCTGAATATACTGTACACAGTATATAGGAAAGATTGTGTATTCTCAGGAACATGTTTTCTACACTAAAAAGTAAAGGCATTTTAAGACTAGTATTTGACTTACAGTACATGATTGGCTGCATTCAATGGAGTCTGATTTTTTTGCATAAATATCATTATCTGTAAAAGACAGTCCTGCAAATGTGGCAGGTGGAGTAATGAGCTCTGTATATTCATGAAAACTGATGAAAGAGACACTGGAAAGGAAGAAAAAACTCAGATTTCGGCTAGTTCCATGTACATACTCCACTATTTATATAAGATAGTTATGACAAATGAAATAAAGCAGCACATATTTATATTACAGTCATCAGCCCATTGCCTGTTGCATTCATTTTTCGGGAGACATATGTGAGCTAATTGGATGGGCATGGTGTCCTGTCGCACATTCTGCATTTAGACCCTGACATTTTTAATATGTCAAGAGGAGGAAGCTACTGTTTCTGAAAGCATGGCCAAAAGCAGGCCCTTTGTTTTCTACACAGCTTGTGCTAGTGAAAAGCCTTGTTCTTGTTCCACAATGTGAACTGATTTTTTTTTACTGACTTACAGTACTTTCTAACGGTGGCTTAAATCTGTCCCTTAAGGCTGAGAGCTACAGTATGACCTTTACCAGCCCAGTGTACAAATGCTGCAAACAGGAAAAGGCAAGCTGGAAAAGGATGTGAATCTTCACACTTTAAAAGCACAAATCTTTATCACTCAGTACCCTTCAATTGCTGGGATAGGGCTACTTTATTAATGGAGAAATTATGTTCAATCATTTTGCTTTTTAAAGAAAAAAAATTGAGGTTGAAACGGGAAAGAGCAGGGAAGGCTTAATAATGACCAGTTTTTGGATTGTACTGTAATCTTAAAGCAGTAAATTCCACATTGTACTGAAGTCATATGTAGTGCAGAAATACAGTATTTCTTATTTTTGTGGTGAGTTTGTGTTTATTTTGAATACACAACATCAAAACCAACAAAGGTAGTTTATTAAATGAACAATACAGAAAGCTGTTCCATTCACCACAAATTAATCACAATCATAGTCAAAAGTAATGGGTTTCAGAATCTATATGGCTTTACTGAACTGCATGGATGCTGATATCCCACTTTGAGAAATATGCTTTTTAGTGCTTAGAAAGTACTGTAAGTACTCTCTCTATAGTCTTGGGGTGTCTTTGTTTTTTTTTATTTGTTTAGTTGAGAAACAAGAACGGTGTTGCTTAAAAGTATCTTAAATAGTTAACCTACTGAATATCTTTCATTGTACGTGGCTAGAACCTACATGGTCCTGATTTAGACATGTTTTAGAGCACACTGAAGCATGCAGGTACACACTAACTGCACATTACACGTTGATATCCACCCCCTGAGTGAAAGTGGGGCCCTGATATTTCTGGGAGGGAATTGGATAAGCGTGTGATAGTCTCTGTCTCAGACCCTGGAAAGGAAAATGTATAAAAGAGTTTTTTTTTCTACAGCTGAAAAAAGAAAAACACACCATAGGTTCTCTAATTGGTCTGTAGTCATTTTTTTTTTCATTTGAAACCAAAGGTAGAAAAAAAAAACATGCACACATGAACACACAGAGAAGAGAGACACTGAAATCAATTTGCCCATCACATCCACATCCCCCTGTGGTTCCCTGTTATTTTTAATCTGATTAGTGTGGCTGGGCTGCATGTTGACTGTCAATCAGAGGGCTGCAATCTGAAGGTTAAAGCCTCCTTCTGAGGGTACATGCACAGATGCCAACCCTAGCACTACGATTTTAAAGCCAACTCACTCTGCAATCACCCCTTCTACTACCAAGGGGTAGAAGAAACTTCCCTAACATTAGAGCTTATTCCGAAACTGCCACGTCCTTTCCCTTCAATCCGAGAAATGTCTTTTCCTTAAGGCAGTTAAAGCCGAAAGCAGGAGCAAAATGCTTTCTTTTTTGATCTTCAGGTGTTGAAGAAGCAGTAGCCTGACTGCCACCGGCAGCAGATGCAAACTCAACTTGCTGAAATCTAGCCAGCAGCACACACAGCATGTGTGCTTAAGCCACTGTCACTGAAGTACTGAAGTAAAAGCACAGAGAAATCTTCACATTTAGCTAAAAAACAAAACACTATAAATTGCATTTAGTTCCTTCAAATGTTTTGCTTCACTCATCCATAGACAAAGTTTAGGCATTTACAGTATGCTATTATGAGGACATCTTGGCTTCCATGCTTTAAACTGAGTTGTCCTTTCATACTGTACCACTTGAACCACATCCATGTTTCAGAGGGTTTTTTTTATGAACTGTGGATCTAAATAGTCACATTGTGCCATAGGCTCAGATATTTAAATCCAAACAGTTTAGTGGCCTGGTAGTATTTGGCTCTGGGTGACTTTTTGTGCTTTGTTTCTAGTTTTTGTGATATTAAAAAAACCCAAAACAAACAAGCATTGCAGATTAAGGCTGTCCCATTTTCTAAATCATGTTGTCTTGCAAGAGGTGAGAAGATTTTACTTGCAAAATAATGCATATTGATGTATACGTTTGTTAATGTTTCCAGTGTTATATAATAACTAAGCATATGAATAGTTAAAATAACAACAGAAGGGTTTTCTTTTTCTTAAAAAAACGGAGCTGAATCAGTCTCCTTGCTGCTAGTTGCCAGAAGAGGTCTTTTGGAAATGAACCAGTGGTGCTGAGAGGCGTGGGAGTGTGTCAGTTCAGAGGACTACACACATAATCCTTCAGCTGAGAGACCACACTTCCCAGCACTGCCTCCATTCCATCCCCCAGCTAAGGTAAATAGTGTTAGATAATGAATTCGGATATTAATAGCTTCTTCAGGGAGACCTCTGTGAATCAATGTAATTGTAATGGGCCCACACGCTACAGGGAGTTCAGCACCTATCTCTGCAGACAGCTCCTGCAGCCTTCCTGCTGTACATCTGAGAGTGGAAAAACCTGTGAGGGAAAATCACAGCTAAAAAAAGTCTTTTTGAAATTACTAAGGCTTTAACTTTAAAGAGTCCCATATCAAGAGTCAACAAAAAAAGGGCAGAAAAGGTGAAGGAAAAACATAATCTAGGACTACCTAGATCAACCATTGGATATTTACGTTTGATTGAGATGATTAATAAGAATATAAAAACAGTACAACCAAATGGAAGCCAATTGAGAATTAATCTTGTATGAGGATATTTCTCAAAGCTCCAAACATCTACAGTAAATACACCATATCACACAGTCTGTGTATATCTGTCCCTGCTATTGCTTTTTTCCTGCGTTTTCTAAATTCATGTTGAAAGTACGCTAGGATATGATTTCAATATAGGTGATCCTCTGCTTTAGTTGAAATCATTATTTCCATAACCTTACATGTAATGGAGTTCAAACCTATTGGTCTACAATTACTTGATTCAGTTTTCACACTTTTCTTGTGGATGGGCAAGCTTTTGCAATTCTCCAGTTCATGGGTCCTACCCCTGTCTGAGCAGCTGTTGCAAGAATTGTGTCAGTTGAGTCTGAATAACATTTCTTGTTTCCTTGAGTACAGTATATTTATTAAGATACTATCAGGTCCCGGGAATGTAAACTATATTGAAGTATAGATGGTTAAATTTAGTTGTGTAATGTTGCACAATATGAAACAAAACCATAAATATGGAAATATGGAATAATAGCCAATAATAGCTGACTGAGGTTAAAAGAGAAACAAATTCAAAACATCTTGAAGAAAAGGTATAGTATTGTTCGGGTCTGCTGGGGAACAAATATGCTTTTTTAAGAAATGTCTTTGTGAACCTGAATAGTACGCCATTTTAGAACTTCCGCCAAGGACCTACAACAAAAGACTGTATGTTGTTGCTTCTTGATTCTGGACAAGGTAACACTTGACGTCACCGAAAAGTAATGGCAGCAAACAGACAGCAGTTCCCCGATGGATTACTGTGTTTTCCTTTGCAGCTCATTTGAAGATGATGAGCCTCCTTGTGTGGAGGAGATCGAGTATCAGAGTGACGGGTGTGGAGAGCACAGTGGGGATGAGCTGGATGACGAGGTCAACGGGAACACGGAAAGCTCCGATGAGGAAGATGAGGAGCATGGAAGCGGCCGCTTTGCCACCATCAGAAATGGCCTGCTGTCCTGTGACAGGAAGCCCTGCCCATTCCCGAAGTTGCCACAACCACCCGCTCTAGAAACGCTTAACACGAATAGGAATGCCCACGGCAGTGTTAACATTTCCAGCAACAAGTACTTGAGTTAAAGGTTTACATCTGTATAGTTCAGGTCTGCCATTTAATGTGCAATACTATACATACACAAGGCCTGGCTTCAGTCTTCAATAGTTTAGCACCTAGAGTAGCTATGAAACACATATATTTAGTACATATTGCCAATTTTGAATGTAAAACATCCTACTATATGTCCTTCCTTGAGCTCTCTTTATTGTACAAAGTGTTTATTTTTTAAGCAGGCAGTATAAAATTGCTAGTTTTGGGTGCCTTTTTTATATTAATATAGATATACATAATTAAAAATATTGAAACATATGCATGGACAATACAATAAAAGGGAAGCCACTTTAAAAGGGAAATTTATTCTAAAAGAAGAATCTGACACAAATCACAATAAACCGCTGTCCCCATCATACGAGGTCATGGTGTAATAATTACACAGTAAAACATCTCTGTGTAATGCCACAATACCAGTCTCAAAAATCATTCCTCTCAGTGTAGAAAAGATGTTGTTTTTCAGGACAGAGAAGTGCTCACTTGGCTTATTCTGACACCCACTGCAGAGGCTGTCAACTACAGATGCTGCCACTCAAGAAGGCGTGTCATTTCTTAGAAACATGGCACCTGTAACACAGCGTGGCACAGTACATTATATGATTTACTGGCCAAAGACGATCAATAGGTGGCACTTGTGGTGCATTAGAAGTTAGTAAAATGGTTGCTTCATTTAATCTGATTCCCTACTGTTTATCATCTTTAAATCCACTTAATATGGAATATTAATATGCAATTTTGTAAATAAAAGGAAATTTTGGTAGCTGACAATGAAAATATCAGAAGCATAACATCTCTGAATGCCATAAACAATATTAAATTAGGAACATAAATATATTATACATTCTGTTTATCACTGGGAGTGGAAGCTAAAAATAAATAAAAATACACAACATTTACTGTGGTTATTTTGGAAATGTTTTAAACTTTTCAATGAAAACTTGCTATTGCTAATGTAAAAAAAAGTTGTAGTTTTACTACAATACTAATATTAATATGAAATTATGTAACTAAAGATATTTTGATAGCTGAAAATAAAAATAGTTTCTGAATGTTATTAACAATATTAATGTATAAACTAATATAAAATATATCATATAAATATAATAATATATTTATATACCTGAAAGTAGTACCATATTTCAGTTTCTTCATAAACATCTGCGAATACACATTTTTATTTATTCGCAGAATAGTTTGTCTTACATATTGTTAAGTCACACTGTTAGATGCAATGAGGGAAAAAAATAATACACAATCAGGGTTTTTGAAGTTGTTGAAGCGCCATCTCACAGCTCGCAGTGGGGGTGTAATGTAGTTTTAAAATGTTGGCCATGTGAATCGAATACGAGAACAAAGATTATAATTCCTGATGTGCCACATACACAAATCACATGAGTTCAGATCTACAGTCTGCATCTACAGTCGGCAACAGCCCAAACACACCACGTTAAGCATTCACTGTGTCACCTAGCGTTTTTACAAAGTAGTGCAGTCCCATAACACAATATTTTTTTTAAAAACATGCGGTGCGGTGCAGTGTGGTTGGGTGTGTACTATACACGCAATCTGCTCCATTATTTGCTGTGCATTTTGAATGGCTGGATCTGTATGAGGTTTGTGAGGAAATATTTAAAGCTGTGTGCTGTGAACTCAGGGCAAAACCTGTCTCTCTGAGAGATTAAACGTTTTAGAGTGAATTGAACTCAAATTCAAATGGTACAGGATTCAGTGCTACACTACGGTGTCACATTTTAAGGAAAGACTTCCATAGTTGATAATCAATTGGAGAACTCCTGTGACTAATGCCAGTCTGAGCTGAGGTTCAGTCAGGTCTAAAGGATTAGAGCCTACCCTAGATTCTGGTGAGTCTTTTAACTTCATTCTAACTCCCTGAAATTTGTCAAATGCAAACATATTGTTGAAACTGTTGTCTTTAAGTAAATGTACTGGAATATTACTTATTCAGATCAGTCAGTTCACACATTGTTTGAATTAATGTTGCTTATGTATAGTTAATACCATACTTTCATATTCTAGTCACAGAAATTACACTTGGCAGAAAATGAAGTGAAGTAATAATCTGCCAATAGTTGTGCAAACCCAATGAGATCCGACAGTTCTAAAATATTATCTGAGTGAACTCTATGCATTTTATAAGGCTACAGTACATTTACAAAAAGATATTCATTTAATTATAAATCTTGCATTTGTCCCTCTTGTTCAGCTTAAGAAATTATCTGCATTTGTTTGTGAAGTATCACATACAGTATACTAACCAATTTGGATTTTGGTGCTGAAATAAATCATTGTGCATTGATTGATGCTCTTCAATGTAAGCCGTGCCAGAGAATGGGTGACTCTATGTTTCCATGTCTTGGTGCCAGATAATATTCTTCTATTTCCAGGACCCTGTGCTCCCTGATTGTACTTTATTAGGACTATAAAATGTGCCTATAAGGACTGGGATAGAAGGCACATGTTGAGGACCAGGGTGAATAATATTTAACGGTGACTGATTTGAGCAGCATCAGTCAAATTTCATCTGTGACTACATCTTCATTTCTTCACTTTATCATAAAGATTTTTATTGCAATATTCTGGAAATATTCAATTCAGAAAATAAACACAAATTCATCCAGCATAGACTCAGTCCATCATGGTACAGCCTGCATTAAAAAGACAAAATCATAGTGGTGTTTTTGAAACTGCAATAGATATTTCTATAGCTAAACTGTAATTGCAAAGTTTTTTTGGCTTGTGTGGCTTTTCATGTGGGAAGGGGGCATTGAATGCACATTTTATGTACTATACAGAGTCAGCCTACAAACTGGCTCAGTCTTTCTGGTTTTAAGCTTGCAGGATGCAATTTGTACTTGCAATCAAAATGTCAATGAGAAAGAACAAACTCTATTTTACAACTGACAAACTGATATTTAATAAAAGAACATGAACTCAAAAAATACTTGTAAACTCAAAAAATAAAAGTAAATATCCAGTATGGATTTACTCTCTTTTCTTTCTAAAACACATAACCTTGAGAAATGCTGTATTTGGTTGTGTCCTACAAAGAAGACTTCAGTGTTATAGATTATGCATATTAGAAAAATAAAGTTTTATTTCATGTGCATACAGGTTTTTAGAAATTTAAATTTATCCATGCAAATCATTCCATGCACCCTGTGATACTTTCTGTGTTTTTTTAGACACAAGCTGAGCTCTTTCTCAGCTCCATGCCACTTTATGCAATCCCCAGTGATACTGGCAAGATCTGCCCCCTCTGGAGAAGAACTGAACTTCACTCAGTGTTTGAAATTAAAAATAATCTTTCATCTGTTTGCTTGTTCTTCCAGCAGCTTTATTTTAAAAGGGCACTAGGAAAGAACATTACTTTTCACAAGCACAGCAAGGGATACAAATACAGAGATGATGAATGCAATGGAGTTTGTAAATTAATTTGGTGGTTTTCTAAAGTTAGCTCTTTGTTTCTTTATTGAATCTAAAAAGTGTTTTTGTCTCATGAAGACTACTCGAAGGTTTAATTCAGCCTAACCAGACAGAACTGGCTTCTTTCTTACCACTTAAACATCTAGTCCATGTACATATGTGTGTCTACCATTCTTTCTCCTGTGATCCTAGTGCATTGTTCTTGCTTTTGTTTTTCTACTTATTTTAATTCAATCTGCTTTCATTCCATCTGTGATGCACAGAGTCAGGTCTTACATTGTAAATTCAGATCCAATTGGATTTAAAGAGCACATTCTGTTTTGTGAGATTTAAGGATCTTTTGAAAAAAAGGTAATTCTTGTTACTGTGGAGCTACAGGACATACACTAAGGACATAAGAATGATTATAAATGAGAGGAGGCCACTCAATGTATCTAGTCCATTTGGTAGTCAGTAGCTAACTGATCCAAAGTTCTCCTTCAGTCATTTCTTGAAGGAAGACAGAAAAGAACATTAAAGGTTTTAAAAACTTGGCTGTGTAGCTTGGTCCAGACTCCCACAACCCATTGGGTAAAGAAGAGTTTGCCATTTTAGAAGCACTTGCACATGGTTTCCACTTGTGCCTTTCACTGGGTTGACGAAACCCACACTTTCTGTCATCTCGTCTGCAGTATACTGTAACTGCATGCCTTATTGTGAAGCCTCTTCATTTAGTGCAGCACTCATACAAGCCCCACTGAAAACATAAAAAGGCCATCTGTAGTGAACCATTCCAGTCTACTGGCCAATTGGGTGTTCACATCTAGCAGACCTTCATGCCACTGGTGCCAGTTACTGACTCACTGAGCCAGTTAAAGAAGAAACAAGTGTAGCGATATTTTTTTTTCAAGATATCAAAAATGGACAAATGGACATCACGAATAGTGTCTATTCATGTTTCAGTTTAAACAAGAGGAATCCAACTATTTAGTAAAGCTTTTGACATGTGCTTCTAAAGCCTTAATGTATTGTGTGATGTTATTTCCACATAAATATGACTTACAGCAAACCAGCTGTTATGCTGCAAGAGCTGTCAGAGGCTCTTACGATAATGCTCCAGTACCTGTAGTGCAGCTCTGTAGCACATTGGTAATCCTGTTATCAGAGGGCTCCATCATTTCTTTTGGATTGCTCAGTAAGGGGAGTGCTCACTTCCAGCTAGGAAGGTCATAATGTCTGCCACAGTCCCTGCTATCTCCAGTCACTTAACATCTCTGTATTAATTATCCAAGTGGTGCAATATAACTGCAAAAATAACATAGGCTGCACGACAAAATCACATGTAAAACAACTTTTTTCTATAAATGAAGATACTTTTGCTTTTCTATCTGTGATCCACTTGCTCTCAGAGAATTACAATGATATCAGGGGTTCCACTGCATTTGAACCACAAACCTAGGCTAATGAGCATTTGAAATGTGCAAAAATTGCAAGGCTGAGGCTGTGGCTCAAACAGGTCAGGCTTATAAGCAAGTAAAGATGAAAGCATTTACTATTGGGGTTAAGGTTGGGCGATTGGTACAGTGGTTAGACTTGCTACCTTGCAGTGCTGGAGCCCTGGGTTCAATCCTAATCCTGGGGTGTTATCTGTGTGGAGATGGTACTGTATATTTTTCCCATGTGGTTTTGCCCTGGATGCTCCCACAGTCCAAAACCATATGGGAAGTTTAATTAGCATCTGGGAAAACTGGACCTGGTGTGACCATGTGTGTGCTTATGCCTCTGTGTGCCTTGCGATGGGCTGACATCCCATTCAGGGTGTATCCCACCTTGCACCATTCGCTTGCCAAACGAGGGTCCAGCTTAGAGCCTGCAGTATAACCCTGAATAGGATGAAGAGGTTAGAAAGTGGATGCATGGATTGAGGCCTTGACCCATTAGTGTCCTCTGAGTATGTGGATTGGGACACAGTGTAATGCATCAGTATCTCTGCACACAGAAAGATCTGCAATCTCTGGTTACTCCGGATATATGGATGTATAACAGTGTACGGGTGGAAGAAGCAGCAAACTCAGTGTCGAAAAGCATTTAATCGCTAATTATAAACCATTACTTAACTGTTTGCTTAATTAGTTTTTTGAAGTAGAAATGTATCACTGCTTTGTTATAATAAAAAGTTAAATTATATATCAATTCAATGATGGACAGCGCCGGATAATGTGTTACATGGTACAACAGTCCAAACAGAACTAATT